TTTGGGTGTCACCTATAATATACGATGAACTTATCTCCCACCGATTGGGACTATTCACGATGTCCTGTCGACATTCAAACACAGCCATTGTGGACAAAGTGGCATTCGAAGCACACTGTGACCACCTAGTTGTATGTGGGTGTAGCTCCTAACCTGTATGAGTTTTTTCAAAGCACTAGAATCGGCAATTCAGATCCCGGATTGTAGGAAAAGGCAGAAAGCACCTATGGGCGGAATTTAATTTGCCCGGAACTTCCAGTTGCTGCCCCGGATAGCAGTTGCCCCTGAGAGAGAGAGAGAGAGAGAGAGAGAGAGAGAGAGAGAGAGAGAGAGAGTAGTGGTAGCTGTTTAATAGGTTGGTGTAGCAGACTCCAGTGCTGTTTTCACTAAATTAAGTCTCAGCGGCGAATACTGGTTTGGGAGGTCGTTGCACTTGTTAATGGACTGACGGCCCGAGAACCATGTCAAGCATCTTGCGTCATTTCTCCGCATGTTTGTCCATTCTCAAGTCGTGACTCATTCGACGAGACTCGGCCACACATTCAAATGCGATGAGGCCGAAGTTCTCACAAGAGGTGACAGTCGCGTAAGCCAGGAATTGCATGAGTCATGTTTATGTGTACTCATCTCCCCCCCCCACCCATATTCGGTGTTGAGACTACGTTTGGCCAAAGTAAGCCACCACTTGGGGAGCGCGCGGCTGGACACACTTTCCAACGCCCACCAGTACCGGTGAACCAGGTGGTCGAGCCACCATCACGTCAACCTCCAACACGGATGATTAAATTACAGCGGATACCGGCCATCAAGCAATTAGCGCACCAGAGGGCAATAGGCCTCGATGAAGGGGAAGCCCTTCATAGGTATGTAGTAGCATAGTGACTACGTCCTATTAGGACTGTAACTCCCTGTGTACGAACTACACGTAGCTGATGCTGCCTCTGAAGGCGGATTGGAACTGGAATCCGAAAAGTCAGACGAATAAATTCCTTCTTCCAGCGATCGCGTCTATTTCTTCGCGATTTCTTCCTGGGACTCGCGTTTTCGCTTGCCTCGGCAATAATCTAAATGATAAGACAAGGAACTGAATAGTGGTAGTGATCTTCTTAAGCTACATTGGAAATTTGGGCGCCCCGTTTTGACAACCTGAACCGATGGTGACGTCGTATGGCTCTTCGAAGCTGTGCGTTCTATAAAGGCCCCAACCGTACCATAGCTGTCAGTTCGGTTGGCATTTTTCGGTAAAGCGCATAGGATGGGCGTCGCGCTACACCCCTGCCAGGGCAAAAGCGGGCTAGCGGCCTTAAAGGCGACCTTGAAAGGGGTTTTGAAGGTCAGGAGAAACAAAGGCAGCTGGAATGCAGACGCACACATGCAGCTGACGGGCGCACATTGTCAGACGGACCAATCAGAGCCCTCAACGAGCGGCCGCCTC